GGGAGGCCAGGGGGCCAATGTGGGGCAAGAAGTGGGGACTGGAGGGGGGGGCTGGCACCCCAGTTCTTAGATGTGCTCCTTTGGGACCCTAGGAGCAGACCCCTGGCCCAACAAAGACGTTCATTGTGGGCCCTTTCCCAGGCTCTGCTCCACGCAAGCCCTGGGCCCAGGATTTGCCCCAATCTGCAGCTGGCCCTGGAAGGGGGCAGGGTTAGAGATGGGAAGGGGGCTGGTGCTGGGGAGAGGAGCATTGAGGGTGGGGCTGGGAGGCAGCCATCAGTGGGGATAGGGGTCTGGGGTGAGGCTGGGGATGGAGGGCTGAGGGGAGGCCTGGGAAAGGGGCCAGCCGAATGACGGTGGGAGACCTACCCTGTGGGTGCTTGGGACCCCGCCAGGCCCCTGGCCCGTCTCAGAGCCCACCAGCCGAGGCGTCCTGGGCTCCATCGTGGCCTCCTTGCCGGGCAGTACTCGCTGCGGGAGGGGCCTGCCTTGGGGGCCAGCAGGCGGGGTGGGCACGCCTACCAGCTCATCAGACCGGTTGCTTCTCTGGAAGACGGGTCTGTGTGGAAAGTCCTGGAGGCAAGTCTGCGCGGGGCGGGTGCCTGCAGGAACCCTGCCTGGCTGGGCCTGCCCCTCATGCCCCCAGGTCCCCTGGGTCCCTGGCTCTGAGGAGACAGCTGGCATCATGGTGGGGGTCAGGGAAATTCCGGGGCACAGGGAGGGCCTGGGGGGCTCAGGAAGTGAGGGAGACACCATGGCCAGGCGCCTGCAGCCTGTGGGATCCCCGGGCTCCTGAGGAGCCTGTGGACCCTTGCTGGCACGGCCTCTGTGGCTGCCAGGAGCCCAGGCCTTTAAGGAAGCCCACCCTCAGGCCATCCATTCCGTGTGAGCCTGGGGCTTTGGTGTGCCGGGAGGGGCACGGCTCAGGATGAGGAGGTGGGCTGGGCAGGTGGGCAGCCTGGGAATCTGCATTCCACCATGGCCAGCAGTGGCCGGGGCCCAGCCTGGGGGTGGGGGAGGGGAAGTGGCCGTTGCACTCCTCGGTGGCAGAGACACACAGGTGTCTTGGTGGACCATGAACTCTGTCCCGTGGGGGAGGGGAGGGGGAAGGTGTGTTTGCTGCCTCCCTGTGGCCAAGGCACAGAGATGGGCTGGGGGTGGGGGTAGGAGGCCCAGTGGCCATGAGACCCTGGTACCTCTCGTCTCTCTGAGTGGGGATGGGACCAGGAGCGGGCGGGTTGGGGGGGGTCTCCAGGGGGCAGGGCCTGGGAGAAGTGGGGAGAGGAATATGCCTGCTCTCAATGCTGATGTGGGCGGGCGTGCTGACAGTGTGGGGGTGCTGGTGGTGAAGGAAGTGAGATGGGGGTGCTGACAGAGAGGGGTGCTGGGTGGCAGGACATCTGGGGGTGTGTGGCCGGGGGAGGCTCAGGGCACAGAGTCGGACTCCAGGGTGTCTCGGTCTGCTGGGCAAAGGGGCAGAACCCAGCCTGTCAGGTAACATGCACACAGCTGTGTCCTGTGAGCTTGGTCTTGGAGGCCATGCCTGCCAGAGGGGAGGTCGGTCGAGGTGAGCATGGTCAGAAGTGAGGGATGTTGGAGGTGAGCATGTTCGGAGGTGAGAGTGGTCGGAGGTGAGTGTGGTCGAGGTGAGCGTGGTTGGAGGTGAGGG